GAGGAAGAGCATGCTTTGGGGGACGCTGAGCCGTGCTGCCGTGAGAAGGATGTAGGGAAGCTGAAGGTCTGTGTATCTGGGCTCAGGCAGTGTCGATGATTACAGGGAGTCGGTTGCGGGAGGGGCTGGAAGGAGTTAGCTTGGTAGGGAGGGTAGGACGGGGCTGTGAGCGACTGTGGTTGTGCATGGTGGTGAGGGCGTCAGAGGTGGGTGTGGAGCTAGGGAGCAGAGTGGAAGCTGCAGAGGTCCTGTCACCACCAGCCGTTCCAATTGCTATGCCATCTTCTCCCAGCTCGTGAAGCATCAGCCCCCTCGCAGGCCTGCAAGGGGCAGGGGTTCCCTTCTGCAACTTCATCGCCCAGAGCACCCTCTTGGGGCCCACGTTTCTGTGCCCGGCTCGCAGCAACGATGAGTTGCCTGTTCATGCTGCACAGTTAGATCACGCTTCCTGCGGAAGACTACCTGGGACAGGGATGTGAGCAGCAGTGAGTGATCTGCCTTTCCACTGTGGTCAAGTTAAACAGGTCAGGATAGGGTTCCCCAGGGTTTCCGATACAGGCAGTGACCCCGGGGCATTATTACTCCTCTTGGGACACGAAGTATTCAGACTAAAAGAACTATTACTCCTAACATTTATACAGTACCTAGTACAGTGAGGGTGAGGTCCTGCTTGGGCCTGGGACGTACCCCCCTTGGACAAATGTCTGTATTGAACTTTCAACAAGGCGGAGTGAAGGTGCCCATAGTCATAGCCAGAGACCCCAGGTGTTGTGCAAGCACAGAGCAGAAGTGATCCCTGCCCCTCCGTCAGGACCGATCAGGCTTCTTGTGGCCGTCCTGTGACTGGGTGGGTGCACGCACATGTGACTTTGTAATTGCTGACAGTGGAAAATTTTTCCATCGGTTCCAGTTGGCACCAAGGTCTGGAACGGAGCAGCGAGTCTGTGTGGCTGTCTGGCAGCTTGGGCCCAGGTTCCTCAGCTGCCACCTCCAGAGGCTGGTGGAAAACTGAAATGGAGCCCGCAGACACGTCTCTGCGCATGGAGAACTAGGGGCTTGCTTTTGCTGCAAAGAAAGCTGTGGGCTCCTTCTTCATTACCCCAGGGTAACTACCACAGCCGCTCTCCTGCAGGAAAGGCAGCCAGGCCACCATGCTACTGCAAGGTCAACTCGAGAGAGCGTGCAGCTTTGAGCTCTGCAAATTTGCCTTGTTGTAAAACTTGCACATGTGGTGTTGGCCGTGCTTTCCCCTCGGGAGCGGTGGCACGCAGTAGTTACCCCGGGGTGAAAAGACACAGCTCTTTATGAAGCGAAGCAAGCCCGGAGGAATTTTCCCCTTGTGGCCAGCTGTTGTCCTGGGCCTGGCTTGCGTCCTCCAGCACTTCCCACTCTGTGCTTCCTCGGGGAGGGGACCGGAGGCCGGCCCACCCTGCAGACTCCTTTTGCCGGGTGAGTGGGTGCCACCTCGGGCTCGGAGGGGTAAGTGGCTGCGGTGGAGCCCAGCAGCATCCTGTTGTCTCTGCAGGGATCCTCTTGGGCAGCAGAGAGTTTTCCCCACCCCCAGCTCTGCCGCTGCCTCTTTGTTTTCTGGCAGAAGCCTCCGTGCCTTTTCATTGCCGTTGAGGCGCTGAGCAGGAGCCTACATGTGCCGTGTGTGTGTGTGTGTGTGTGTGTGTGTGTGTCTCGCCGGGCATGTCTCGAGACCTGCCGGGCTGCGTGTCTCCCTCGCAGGGCTGCGGAGGCCAGCTGGCAGCTCTGGGGGCTCCTTTCCGTGGGCTGTTCCTCTGCTCGAGCAGGGCTTTGAGGCTGCTGGTTTCCTCTGATAAGCGCTCTTTTACACTGGCAGCGTTTCTGCACCTTGCCACAAGTGGAGTAAGTTGGATGGGAAGGGGACAGTTCTCAGCTCGGCTCTGCTCGGGGCTCGGGCTCTCCGCTGCGGTGCTCTCGTGCCGGCGCTCCTGCTGAGAAGATACCTGAGATTAGAGCAGTGCAAAGGGATTGGGGGGGGGGGGAGAGCGGGCTGCGGATCCGAATACAGCAGTGGCTAAGAATTGCTTGTGCTGTGCCTGCCTCTCTGTGTATTTGATCTCTCGACTTCCAGCGGGGACTGAATTCCTGTGCTGGATTCTGGGCTCAGCTCTTGTGAAAGGATCCAATTATTTCAGAGCTTTGAGCATCTCCATTTGCTGCCCATATTTGCAGTGCCCGGGTCTGCGCTGGCTGGAATTCCGAGTGATTAACGTGACTGTGACATCCCTCCTAGGGGTGTTATCTTTGCTTGCTGTCCCCCACCGCCCCCCTCTTCCTCCTCCAGCAGCGAGCGAGCGAGACAGGCAGGCAGAGACAAAGGTCTGTCCTCAACCTGGGCTGTCCTCCCCGTGAGCGGCTGCTGCATGGGATTTCCCCGCTCTGCGTGCTGCAGGTTTCGTGGGCTCCTGATTAACGTTGGAGCCGGGAGGCTGTATCGCTGAGGTTTGAGCCTGCTGGGCTGGGTGGGCAGGGGGTGCTGCCGGCTTTGGAGAGCTGGCTGATTGTCCTGCTGGATTTTAAGCTGCTTTTCATTCTTTGACTGTGCTTTTTTTTTTTTTTCAGCCGCAGGCTATTGTCAGCGTCTCTGTTTGCATGCGACGCACCGAGGCAAGGTGTGCGGAGGTTATCTGCGTGGGGTGTCAGAGCAGGGGGTGAGCCGCCAGGCCAGCAGCTCTGAGCTGCCGGGAGAGATTTCATTGTGTTATCGCAGGTTGGCTGAGTGGAAGGGCTCAGTCCCCACGTAGCCCCCTATGGCACCTTGTGCGTGGGCCTGGGGCTGGGAAGGCACCGTGCACCTCCGGGCAGACCTCAGCCCTCAGGGAGGCCAGGGAGCTAATGGGGTGTCTGGTCACTCAGGAGCCTGCTGGAGCCACAGCGAGGCTCCTTGCAGGGAGCCTGCTCTGTGCTCGGGGCTTCTGCACCCTGCTTTGGTGCACCGGGACGGTGTCCCCTCTTGCGGGCTGGGAGGAAGGGCAGCAGCAGCAGCACCTCCCTGACACGGGTGCTGCCAGGCAGAGGAATGTGTAGGGTTTGTCTCTGTCTAAGCTGCCCTTGATGGTTTCTAGGAGCTTGCAGCTTCTAACATGGGCACTCCCTCTTGCCCCATGCTTCCCTTCTGGGCTTGGGCTTCCTCCCTGTTATCTGCACAGGGGCCAGCACTGAGCAAGGCTCTGCAGCTGCATAAATCTGGTACAGCAGGAGGCTTCCTTCTGAGGAGCCCCTGAGAGCAGTACTTGTCCCTGCAGTGGAGCAGGGATGCTCCCTCTCTGCATCATCTTTTTCTTTCCCCTCTCCCTTGTTTCCACCAAGTGTGGGCTTCTTCCTCCCTGACCCAAATACCAGGGGAGAGCCAGAGCCGTGTCTACTCCTTTCATCTCTCCCTCCAGGTACAGTTTGCTGCTGGAGCATCTCCCTCACTGGTTTCTCCACAGGAGTCCCACCTCTCCCATGGATAGTGCTATAAGTGGTTTCCGTCTCTCTGCTGACTACGGTACATTTGGTCTTGCAGGCCGTGGAGAAACCGCTCTGATGGCAACATTGCTGTTGGTGCTGCCATCCTCCAGCAATGTGACGGAAACTTTCTGCCTGCTTCTCAAGCTCAGCTCTTAGCCTGTGCCAAGGAGCTCATGGTTTTACACTTCCACTGGTTAGATTTCCCCTATTAAGTCTTTTTCTTGGGTTCAGATAGGATTGATGGAGCCGTGAGGTATCTTCCAAGCAGTCACAGTTTCCAGCAGTTTCTGTTGCCTCTTCTCTTGCCTTGTGCTCTGCTTGTACTGAGGCCGATCCCTTGCCTTCTTGTAAGGCCGCTCTCACTGCCGCTCTCTTTCCTTGCTCTGTGGTTCTTGCTTCACCCTGCAGGGAGGCTGGGAAGTTTTGGTCTCCTAAGCCCTTCCCAGGAGAGGGAGCAGGAGGGAGGCAGGCAGGGAAGGTCTGTTCAGGGATTCCTTCTCTGTGGTCTGAATGAGGCGAGGCCGCTCTCGGCCTTGCTGGCCCCTCTGCGTGGCTGTCTGCCGCAGGCAGCAGGGCTCAGACCACAGTCTTCTGTCCCTTGGCCATGTGTCCGCTGACTTGCTGGTCTCTTTGGGAGACCTGTGTGGATTCCCACTGTGTGAGCTTGGCCCCTTTGGGCACAGCATTCCCTTTCCTCCTTGCGCCGGTGTCACACTGGTAACCCTGCCGGGCTCCCCTTTCCAAAGACTCTGCCTGTCCTGTCCCTTGGCATGGTGCAATACAGTTAAAATGGCAACAGATCCTTTTACAGCTCAGAGGCTTTGGCTGCAGCCTGACGTACAGTACAGCTGCTGCATCGCCCAGCTGGGAACCCTTCCTCACCTGCCATCCTGCTCTCGTGCCGCCAGATTGAGGCCACGGTCTGTTTATTGTGTCCCCCCGATGTGCTAATAGGAATGAAGCCAACAGGTAATCCAGGTCTGTGACCCTCAGTCCTGGCTGTACCATCCTGCATCAGATGCTGGATGGGTCGGGGTCTGGTGGCTCAGTGTCACCAAGGCAGTGAAATGCAGTGTCTGTGCCCCAGCACCTGGGACGTGCTCCCTCCCTGCTGGTCCTCAGGCACTGAGAGTGTCCTGGCTGTTGAAGCCTAGTGCCCTTTCTCCAAGCTTGGCCAGGTGAGATGCAGAGAGGAAAGCTGCGTCCGACATAGCTGTGGAGCCAGGTGCTAGGAGACCTTGGAGAAAAGATAGTGGGGATGTGACCCTTGTGGCACTGCAGTGCCATAGAAGGGGATTCCACCTTCCTGATCACAGCGCTCCCTATCCTAGGCTGCCTGGCAGACCTCCAAGGGGATGTGCAAGGAGGTCCCTCCCACGGTGTATTTGTAGACAGAGGGAACCCTTTCAGGCTAGCGCTGGCCTTACCTGGTGACTGGCATTGAAATCTCAGCTGGGACAGGTTTGTGGTGTCAGCGTGTCAGCCTCACCTGATGGACCTGTTCTCCTGAAACGCAGCTGCCTCTGGGGAGCAAATGGCTCAGCCCACCAGCACAAGGACCTGGGAAGGGATGTGACCACAGAGGAACGCGAGAAAGAGAAAGAAATGACGCAGGTTGAAACTGCAGATTTGTCCCAGCATGGAGACATGCAGGAAGGATGTGGCTTTCTCCAGCCATGCCATGCTGACTCTTTTGCTGCCAGCTGCTGACTTTGCTTCCCAGCGGTCGATTGTGCCCTGCAGGTTGTGGTACGAATCTCCCCCGGGGGTGGAAGAGGGAAGCAGCTACCTGGTGTAAGAGTTCTCCACCTTCCAGGCAGGCAGAGCACAGTGAGTTAGCACCTCCACGTCCTCCCACGGTCCACAATTGTGGGTGTTCACCTGCTCTCCTGTGTGCCTTCATGCAGGCCCAGTGCAGGGTGCCAGGAGGAGCTGTCTTTACAAAGCCTCAAGGAGCTTGAGGCTTGAGATCGGACATTTGATGTGCCATGCTGTGGATTTGCCCTGCGGTGAGCGCTTCCAGGGAGCCAGCATATTGCTTCTGTGTCCTGGCTGATCCCTGGCGATGCTCTTCCTTTGGTACTGCTGGCAGTGGCTCTCGGGCTGACCTGCTCTCGGGGACTGGCTGCAAGTGCCTATTAATTACAGATGCCGTTGGGAATATAATGAAAGGCCAGGCCATTTCCTGGGGCAGCCAAGGTCAGCCCTGGTGCTGCAGTGAGCACTGCAAGAGACCTGCTGACACTAGGACTCCAACTGGAAAGATTTTGGGTTGCAGAATTTGCCATACTAAGGTGCCAGAATAGGGGGGCACTTGGGTGTTCGATGTTTCCAAGTATCCCTTCAGGGATTTTGTTCATCTGCCTGGCCCTGCTGTTTCCAGTCCGGCCCTATGCAGCGGGGATTCTGGCTGGGTTGGGAAGTGGGGTGTGAACTTCTCTTATCTGGGTACTGATCTGCACCCTGCCTGGGGGGCAGTTGCTCAGGGAGACACAGGTTCTGTTGGGCCCCATGCTTCATGGAGGGATGATCTGACAGGGTGGCAAGAGGTGGGCTTCGCACCCAGCCTAACCGGAGCCTGATGCATTGCGGAGAGTTAGGCGAGGCGATATAGGCCTAAGCTATGCCGCCTTTGGGATGGTGCTTTCGGTCAGGATGGCCAGCCAGCCGGGCAGCGACTTCCCTCTGGACAGCTGCTGCAGTGGACCCCCAGGCAAGGGCTGCACGGGGGGAGAGGTGGGGAGTGTGTGGGCCCTAAGGACGGGCAGCGCTGCCTCCTTTTGCCCCTGGGGCAACAAGGCTCATGGGCTGCCCCATGATGGAGGGGCTAAGGGAAGAGATTCCCAAGGGCTTCTGCCTGCTGTGAAGGTGTCATGTCGTAGGCTGCTGCCCAGGCTGACTCTCGTCCTTGCCCTCCCCCAGGCATCAAAGGTACGGTGTTGGTGGATTATGACCGCAGGGAAGCCGTGGCTGTGCCCAGGAAGCTGCGTTGCATCCGCAGATCTCCTTCGTACATCAAGGGCACCTTTGAGCAGGTGAGTGCTGTGCACGTGAAAGGACTGCTGTCTTTGCTCTGGGGGAAGCTGGTGGGGGGCCATCACAGCTCAGGGCTGTCAAGCTCCCTGTTTCTACCTTCCTGCCAGACATCGCTTATTAGAGGAAGGAAATTGCAAGCTCTTCTCCTTGTCTGTAGGGCCAGAAAGTGACGTGTGCTGTGGGTGAAAGGGATGGGAGGTGGACATGAGACCAGTGGCCTGGGGAGTCTGATGATTCGCAGCATCTTGGAAAGCAAGCCATGAAATGGTCACCAAAATAAGTAGGAATCTGTCCAAATGCACAGGTTTTCATGAAGGTAAGCAAGTAAAAGAGGTATAAAATACAGGAAAGATGAGAATTCACAGCTTAGCTTGAAGTATTTGTGGTTTAAATGGAAATCATGGACCATACTGCCCAAGAGGGCCTGTAGATGTGTATGGCCTTTGGATTTGGGAGGCTGAAAGTCTGAACACGAATACTGCCTTCTCTGCCTGTGTGACACCACAGGCAGGTGGCACCCTCCTGCTCTTCTGTCGGTGAGCTCCTGAATTATTCCCGCCCTGCATCTTCCCCTCTCCTTCCCCGTCAGAGCTGCTGTGGAGACCGAAGAGCTGGAGAGGACAGCGCAGAGGTTCGAAGGCACACCGTGATGGTGGGAGCCATTCCACGGCAGCCACGCCGCTTCTGGGGGGTGCCCGGCTGGCAGGTGTCTTCAGCTAGTTGTGCCAACGACTATCCACTGCAGGACGGGGAGCCTAATCTGGAGCCGTGTGGGGTTCTGCTGCAGAGGGGTGAGTGTGGGAGGCAGCCAGGACAGGCTACAGAGTGGCAGGTTGCACCTTTCATCGCTCCTCCTAAACAACATCCCTGGGCCCGACTGCCTTGACCTAGCACCCTCCCATCCCCATCACAATGTGGGGCAAAATACCGCTCGCAGCCTCAGTTCCCAGATGACCTTGACCCAATTGAGGAATCGTTTTCCCTATTGCATACCTGCCCCAAGCCTTTGGAGCCACGGGAGCAGACAGAGCTATGGGGACAGGCTGATGGCGGCAGGGCTGCCAAACCAGGGCTGCTTGTCAGGCTCCGGAGCTCCTCAGCCCGGCAGTTACTTTTCGGCAAAGATCCCATCTCCTGAGGTCTTGTGACCGTTCCGGTATTTATCGTGGCAGACACAGCTCCTGGCTAGGACTCTGATGGCTCCGAAACTGGACTTAAAATCAAAATTGAGACCCCATGTAGCGCAGAGTAGGCCAAACCCTCAAGGTAGGTGGGAATGAGTGATGTGGATGGGTTGTGCAGGAGCCCGTGGTGGGCTCTGCTCCTTCAACTCCCTGATTGTAGGTTAGGATAGGCTGGAGGCATTGTTAACCTGCAGCCCCCAGAACCACCCACCTGCAAATTCAGGTATTTGAGGTCTCTGTTTCAAGCCAGCTCAGAGAAGGGCTAACTGCGATGTTAGATCAGGTTCCCTCAGGCTGCACAGCCTGATTTCTGGCCCCACTGTGGGTTTGAAAGCGTAGGGAGCCAGCCCTGCCTTGTTCAGTGCATGCGGCTGGGCAAGGTTTCCTTGGCAAGCGCTTGGAGATCTTGTTGCCCTTGCCCAAAGGGGTGATTACAATCCTGAGCCCCTGGGTCTGGTCTGACCCGCCTGATTCCTGCGCTCCAGAACAGCGCAAGCACGTCAAGTCCCTTGCAGGCCCCTCTTCTCCCCGCTTGTTCAGGCTTGTCCTCAGTAGCCTCCAGCCCGGCTGGAGACTCCTTTTTGTGCCCAGGCCAGGAAGAAAGTGCTGATCCTGCAGATGGGTGATGCCACGGGGTTCCCTAGAGAGCCACACCAAGCTGGTTCCTCTTCCCGTCCCCAGAGAGGGAGGTCTGAGCAGGGCTGTATGCGGAGCCACCCGGGTCCCAGTACGTCCCCTGCTGCTGAAAGGCTGGCTGAGGATCAGGATCCTGGGCTGATCTCCTTCCTCTTGCTCTGTCCTTCCAGATGCTGCGCTGCAGCGCACTCCATAACAGAGGGCTCACCCGGACGTCCTGAGCAAGGGGGGTCCAGCTCCCACCTACTGCCCTCACACAGTGACCCTGTGGCACTTTACTGTCCCTTCCCTGCTGCTGTATGGGGCTGTTTTGACTCTGGCTCCACTTGGGGTCCAGCCAAGTAAGGCTCCATGCGGCACATCCACACGGAGGCGTCCCTGCCCCCAGAGCGCAGCACGGACTCTGGCCTGTCCCGGCCAGGTGGAGAGGCAGCCTTAGAGCCTTCCTCACAACGCTGCACTCGCCGCGGCATCCTCATGGGCTACAACGAGACAGAGATCAAGCGCCAGAAGGTTTACCAGGTCTCTATCTTCTCCCATCTCTCCAGCTCTTCCGAGAGCACAGAGCAGCGGACAGGCAGCCGACCAGCTGTGAAGAGGGGGTACCCCGAGCAGCGAACTCCAGAGGGGGCACGCGATCCCAAACGAACTCACTGGGGTGGCGGGGGGGCAGACGGCAAATGGGACGGGGGTCCCGGGCACGGTTCCCTGGACGATGACGATGCCTTCGAGGATGGTCTGCTGGTGGAGGAGCTATCCCTGTGCGGCTCTGCGCAGCACTTCTCCCACAGCGGGCTGCGGGTGGTGGAGCACCGATGTGAGGGCAGCCCAAGCCACAGTCCCAAGGCTAGCAGAGAAGACAGGTCGCAGGATGCCTCATCCTCCCGGCCACAGCACATTGCTTGCAGTACTTTGCACACAGAAGACCATTGCCCTGTCCCACCAGGGGATCAGCCTGAAGACTATGGGGAGAGGGCAAGTGGCCACAACGTACTTGAACTTGATTTGCACAATATTGCACAAATGCCCCGGGCAGACTCTGGGAAGAGAGAGAAGCCGAGGGACGGCCCTGCTCATAGCAGCCAGGCTGGCAGAGAAGGGGAATGGCCAGTGATGGCCAACGGGTGCAAGGAGCCCCCAGCTCCTCAGACAGCACTCAGCCCCGAGCCCAGCAGCCTGAGCTCCTTGGAGAAGACACCCTGTGGGAGCAGTCGGCTCAGCGGGAGCAGCTGCCCAGCCAAACGGAAGCTGCTGCCTGCTGGAGAGGTTGCAGCTGACTCCTGCTCTGAGGACGAGAGCCTGTCCCCACCAGCGAGGAAGAAGAGGGCCCCGCCATGTCATCCAGTGCCCACGGCCTGCCGCAGCACTGATGCCAAGGGGGCTCCTTTCTGGAATCACCTGCTTCCAGCAGCCAAGGTGAGCATCAGTTGTTGAGGGGTGGGAAGAGGCAAGGAACAGCCTAGGGACATCCAGAGTCCAGGGCTGTGCTTGTGGGCACGTGGCCCCCAGTGGCACAGCGCCCTGTCCTGTCCCAGTGCCATAGCCCTGGTTCAAACAGGGCAGTAGCAGCTGGCCAGCCCTGAGGAACAGTCTGCAGGGTGTCACTGGCTACAGACCTGCTGTGATCACTGGATTAGCCCCTTGCAACCAGCTCTCTGGCATGCTGAGAGCCTCACTTGGGGAGGACGCCCCCCCCCCCCGCCAGTGACAGCGTGAGTTGGAGACACAGTACGGGGGCTGTTGGCTGCGGCCGAGTCAGTGTCTGACAGCTTTGTGTCAAGCCGTCAGGCTTAGCATGAGCAGCTGTCCTCTGTGTGCCTAGGGAGGAGGAAGGCAGAGGGATGGGGACTGCTTCGGCCCCTGTCCATGACATCCCTCGTGGTGCTGGGCCTGCTGGGTGAGGATTTGGTGGCATGGATCAGGGCTGGACAGCTCTGGCCAGGGAATGGGAGCCCTGGTGCTGTGTGCCGAGATGCTGCTAGCTCCTCTGCGGTACTGGCGAGCCTGTTGTGTGTCCCCAGCGTGCCACGAGCCCTCAGAAATGGAGCAGAGCTCTGGGGTTTGCAACCACCCTGGTAGCTCAGGAGCAGCCTGCAATTCCATCCTGTTTGCCAGCTGCTCCTGACCAGATCCCTGCTCCCACCATATCCTGCTGGCCAAGGTCACAGCAGGTTCATGCCGGAGCCAGCACGCTCCTGTCCTTCTGTGGGACATCCCAAGGTGCGGGGACTGACAGGGACAGACAGCAGAGATGCATTGTTTTAGGGCCAGGCAGTGCCATCAGCATGGCACAGCTC